TTTGGCGATGTTGCGGAGGTGGAGTCTGCACGAGTTTGTTAAAGATTGGACTTGGGGCTGGAAGGATAGGTTGGAGTCCAGAATGACACCAAGTACTCTGGCCTGCAGGGCGGGTTTGATATTGGTGTTGTTGGATGTGATGGAGAAGTCAATGGGGGGTGGGGTCCGGGCTGGGGGGAAGAAAAGAAACTCGGTTTTGGAGAGGTTCAGTTTAAGGAAGTGGAGCGACATCCAGTCTGATATGTTGCTCAGTAGGTGTGTGATTCGGGCAGAGACCGAGAGTACTCTGAACCACTGTTACACGTTTGAAATAGTACAAATGCAAGGTATTTGGGGGGGGGATGAAGCTGCACTCCTGGACTGGAGGGTTTTTTTTTTTCAGAATTTCCAATTAAGTTAAAATCAAAATCTTTTTAAAAGTGGAATTTTGTCTTTCCTGATCCCATACATTGGTACATATTATTTTCAACGGCATTGATTCGTAAAGGATAAGTTCACCTCATTTGTAATTGGGGTGTTACATGTAACATGTTCCAACTCCTGCCCCCCTCTCCTCCTGCATCGCCTTCCCCTGTGATAGCAGGCAGGGGTTTCTTTCACCCACAGCTGCTGTCACATTTAAAATGGCGCAACTGTGCAGGCAGATCTGTGAATGTGTAAACCATAAGTCCCGTGTGCCATTGTTCTCAGTGGACTGAGTGCGTTGCTCAGCTCAATTGTAGTCTATGCACACTCCCTCCAGCTTCCTAACTTAAAGCCTGTACCTGCCTTTCTCAACCAGGGTGCCTTAAGGTTTCTTCAGGGGTGCCTTGGCAAAGTGTCTAAAAGTTGCCCAAAACTTGTATACAAGCTAGTGGGTGGAACAAGCCTGCCTTTTAGTTACACAAAATCACAGGTTTTCATTGTGCACCATTACGACCTTCTAGCCGCCGGCGTCCTGACAACCAGTGACATCAGTTGATAAGGAGGATGTCAGTTGCCTGCACAGCATCCTAGTTTGACCCTCCCCTGCCCCTCTCCATCAGTGCTGGGGTCACATTAGCTCAGTGATGGAGAAAAACTGAGGGAGAAGAGAAACACTGGAATACTAGTCAGTACCAGTGTGCAAAAGTGTATTTGCTTTGGAAGAATAATTCACCTGTAATGTTGGGTGTCCTACATGTGTGGATATTGCTGTGTTATTTATATAAAAATATTTGAGTAGTTTTTCACATTTTAGAATGGGGTGCCTCAAGACTGTCCATAATTTTAAAGGGTGCCTCGGGACTGTCCATAATTTTAAAGGGTGCCTCGGGACTGTCCAATTTGAAAGGGTGCCTCGGAACTGTCCATAATTTTAAAGGGTGCTTCGGGACTGTCCATAATTTTAAAGGATGCCTAGGGACTGTCCATAATTTTAAAGGGTGCCTCGGGACTGTCCGTAATTTTAAAGGGTGCCTCGGGACTGTCCGTAATTTTAAAGGGTGCCTCGGGACTGTCCGTAATTTTAAAGGGTGCCTCGGGACTGTCCGTAATTTTAAAGGGTGCCTCGGGACTGTCCGTAATTTTAAAGGGTGCCTCGGGACTGTCCGTAATTTTAAAGGGTGCCTCGGGACTGTCCGTAATTTTAAAGGGTGCCTCGGGACTGTCCGTAATTTTAAAGGGTGCCTCGGGACTGTCCGTAATTTTAAAGGGTGCCTCGGGACTGTCCGTAATTTTAAAGGGTGCATAGGGACTGCCCATAATTTTAAAGGGTGCCTTGGGACTGTCCATAATTTTAAAGGGTGCCTTGGGACTGTCCATAATTTTAAAGGGTGCCTCGGGACTGTCCATAATTTTAAAGGGTGCCTCGGGACTGTCCATAATTTTTAAAGGGTGCCTCGGGACTGTCCATAATTTTAAAGGGTGCCTCGGGACTGTCCATAATTTTAAAGGGTGCCTCGGGACTGTCCATAATTTTAAAGGGTGCCTCGGGACTGTCCAGAATTTTAAAGGGTGCTTCGGGACTGTCCAGAATTTTAAAGGGTGCCTCGGGACTGTCCAGAATTTTGAAGGGTGCCTCAGGACTGTCTAGAATTTTAAAGGGTGCCTTGACTGAAAAAAAAGTTGAGAAACACTGGCCTGTACTGAGGTACAGCCACAAAGCTGTTGGGCATGTGCAGGAGAGTGATATCAGATATTCACTGGTCACAGTTACAATCCTTTGCAGGCTCCTGAAGGAAAAAGTGATAAATGCATGTTTTTTTTTTTTTTTTCTGCAAAAATATGTGCATTTATTATTTTTCCTAAAAGGTGAACTTAGTCTTTAAGCTATTTTAAAAACCTACTTCCTGAAAACATTTGTAAAACGTTACCTATTCAATTCAGTGGAGCATTCTTCCAAAACATTTGTACAAACTGATCTGGGAATGCTGAATGCTGAGCTCTTGGTTACTTTGCCTTTTCACGGGTGAACTTTGATAATAGAGCCTGCCTTTAATTGGAACAAGATATACCTTCGTTCATGACCCCTGAACATGTAAGGGAGCAAAGTTAATCAGTCTTGGGGTCCTATATCTGGATTGCTGTTCTCTAGGCCAGCTACCAGATTAGCACCACTTGGGTCGAACACTGCACTACAAGACAAATAAAACAGGGTGCCACTAAAACCCATGCTAAAGTGTTCCAGCAGCCTAGACAGATAGTGGATACAGCCAGGAAAACACCTATGTGTAACCACAGCAAATCAGCTTGAAAAGAAAGTGTTGCAGCTGTATAAATGATTCTGTTGGATAACTGTACAGCATTTAAACTATAACTAAAGGCTGATTTTCTTTTTTTTTTCTAGCTTTGGACAGAGTGGAGGGGGATTAGACCAGCTGTTTTACTGCTGTCTGTGTCCCCATTAGGGAGGCTCACCCTCTCTATTTGTCCGGTTTACCATTAACCCCTTCACGCCTATGGGTAAAACAAATCGAAATGCCTAAGCACAATTCTGCAACGTTGACGTGTTAGTAAAACCGTACATATCGTCACAACTACTTTGTACATCCAGGTGGATTATACCTTGTTTTTTTCAGGACAAATTGGGCTTTCATTTGGTGGTAAATGGTCATGGATAGCTCCTAATTTTTTTTATTATTAAAGGAAAACTGGGCCAAAATAGTAAAAAAAAATAATTTTTTTAAATTTAATTGTGTGTTTCTTGTTACGACCATAACCTACCACCAAAGAACAACTCAAATTACATTCTCCAGTTCTTGACGATCGCAGCGATACCATATATGTGTATGTTATTTGTTGTTTGTACCCGTAGTACAGTCCAGAAACAACAGTGCGCATTTTGTTTTTGTCTTTTTTTTTATATATAAAACACACTGTCACTGACATTAACACTAACTGACACTGATACCAATTTTTTTTTTAAATCCTGTCCTTTGACCCTGACCTTTGACCCTGACCTTGACCCAAACACTAACCCTGGTACTGAACTAGATCAAACCTTGATCTAGGTATTTTTCTTTATTTTTTCTTTTATTTTTTAATATTTATTTATCTTTTTTTTTTTTTTTTTTTACAAACTTTTTTTTCTCTCTCTGTGTCAGGAGTTCGAGAGATACGATGTATCTCTCTTCTCCATTCATAGAGAGAGAGAAAACAAGGGGGCCGGGCTGCACAGTGATTGATCACTGTGATAGCCAATCAGAGGCTATCACAGCGATCACGTGACCCGGAATCGGGAGTCCCGGGTCCCGATCGTTAGAACGGGACCCGGGGCTCTCAGTGACACCGCGGTCTTGGTGCTGGGAGCGCGCCGAGCGGCGCGCTCCCAGCACAAAGACAGGTACGCAAATATGCCGCCCCACGGAAAAAAGCACAGGTCCGTGAGGCCGCATATTTGTGTTACGTCGGCGTCAAGGGGTTAACATTGCGAGTAAATGAAAATCCCACATTTTGGGTTGTCCCCAGAAAAGTAATATAGGGGAAATCTTTTGATGGGGACACAGTTCTAGGGCATGGGGGTCCCAAGGGATTCCCCTTAATTTGCAGGGATTTCCTCTAACTTCCTGTTTTGGCTATGGGGAAAGAAGTGAAGGGAATCTCCCCAATGGGACACAGATGGCAAACCAAAAAAATAGCTGACGGCTTATAACCTTTTCTTACTCTTACTTTTGCCTTTTAGTTCTCCTTTAAATGTAACTGTTTAGGTACAAAGTAGCAAACACACAAGGTAAAGTTCACTTCAGCAAGTACAAGCATTATTATACAGTATTTATATAGTGCCAAACGTTTGCTCAGCGCTTTACATTATAATGGGAGACAGTACACGAGACAATACAGTAACAATACAATGCGATACACGAGGGGTTCGAGGGCCCTGCTCCTTGGAGCTTACAATCTAGGAGGGAGGACAAGCATCACAGTATCCGTACTTATTGTATCATTCCTCTAGGATGGACACAATGTAGGGAAGCAATTTCCAGAAGAACAGTGCAGATTTTTAAAAAATCAAATTTTATTGAAACAACTTTCAGAACAGTCCCCGCACCCTTTCCAGGAGATTTGCCCTCCCTTTTCTGTCTTCTCCACCACTCACAGAACTCATTTGTTGCTCTCTTCCCAAAGCATTGCATGCTGGAGGGGGAGCTTATTGAATGACAGGATCTCCACTGCTCATTCACAGAATGCAGTGCATTGTGGGAGATTAGTAATGTGAGCAATGTGACTGGCGGCACGGGCAGTGGTGCAGCTTTTCTCAGTAGCAGTTGCAGGTGTTACCCTTCTTAGTGCCTGAAAAATAAACCATCAGGGCTGGGTCCAGCAGCTTTGAAGGAGACCCTGAGGGGAAGACTTTTACCAGAAGCAGCTGCCTGCAGGTAATGGGATGCACACAATTACATGTAATTACTGTGTAGGTGCTGCATTCCAAAAAAAAAAAATCCTAAACTTCAGCTTTTGGATACTAGAAATGCATGTTCTCATTACAGAGTTGCTCTTTAATTTTATATCTGCAGGCCACAAGTCTCAGCGGGAAGAGCTTGATGCCATCCTCTTTTATATTTGAGGTAGGTTACATTTATACCCTGAAGTAAAATTGAGTTTTGCTTTTGAAGCTCTGCTTTGTTTACATTTCTATCTGCTTCTATAATCACATTTTCTCATTTTGTAGTGTTGCTCGGTAACATTGGAGCCGGTCCCTAGGAGATGTTACCAGCAGAATTAGGGCATTCTTTGTCCCAATATGGTTGTCAGTTATACTCAGGCCTAATTACTGGGGACTCTGTTAACTCATCTGGCAGCGTGTAGTTACCAAGGAAGTTTGTTCCAGTTCGCTGGCTTAGACTCTTTGAACCTCTTCTGCTTTCCGCTAATGCACAAGGTGACAATCTGTAATAAGCTTCTTTATTTTTCCCTCTTTTTAGAAAATTTTGCAACTTCTTCCTGAGAAAATTCATCAACGATGGCAATATCACAGCATAAGTAAGTGCGGTGTTTTGACTACATAACCTGTACATCCCCAACCATTAAAGCAGTTAACCACTTGCCGCCTGGCCTATGGTCAAATAACGGCCGGGCGAACACTTCATCCCTCCGGGAGGATGTCCTATGGCGTTCTTGCCGGATCATGCTTTGCGCGTGCCCGCAGGGCCGCGCTGTATTGAGATCTGTCACCGGACGTATACCTTGGAGGTGGCCAATGACAGATCTGTGTAGTGGCCCCGTTGCCAGTACCATGTGACCTGCTGTGACCAATCACAGCAGGTAACATGACAGTTGTATACAATGGATGACTTCCTTTCATGCCATCCATTGTATACAACTGTGTCTAGCTGTGAATGGTCACAGCAATCACATGCACAGGCTGGGCCGATCACAGCCTATCTGTGTCATGTGATCAGCCGTGGCTATCACACAACAAAAAAAACCTGAATGAATCGATTTCATTCAGTTAAATGCTTGCTTATAGCAAAGAAATAATTTGCTATAAGCAATCAAATTGTATATCTTTATCTTTTTTTTTTTTTTCGTACTGTCACCAGTCAGTGTCCCTGATCACCACCACACCAGTTATAAGATGATGCTGTACTGCACTGGTGACAATATGTAAAAAAATAAATAAATTGTGTAAATAATTTTTTTAATTTCTTCATTTTCTGAAAAATTCTGACAAAATTACAACTTCAAAAAACTCGCCATGCCTCTTATGAAATACGTTGTACTGTGTACTTTACAAAAGGGGTCATTTGGGGGATATCTGTACTATTCTGACATTTTTGGGCCTCAAGAAATTAGATTGGCTGTCAGTACTTCGGGATTGATCAATATTCAGATATATCCCATAGTTTGTGAACTCTATAACTTTCCTACAGACTAAATAATAAATACTGATTTGGGTTATTTTCACCAAAGAAATGTAGCAGAATACATCTTGACCTAAATTTATGAAGAACAATTCTTTATTTGCAAACTTTTATAACAGAAACAGAGAAAAACATGTTTTTTTTTTTTTAAAAAAAAATTTGGTCTTTTTTTGTTAATTTAGCAAAAAATAAAAACCCCAGTGGTAATTAAATACGAACAAAAGAAAGCTCTAGCTGTGTGAACAAAATGATAAAATTTCAGTTTGGGTACAGTGTTGCATGACCGCGCAATTGTCATTCAAAGTGTGAGAGCTCTGAAACCTGAAAATTGGCCTGGGCAGGAAGGGGGAGGTGCCCGGTATTGAAGAGGTTAAAGGTGAAGTGTGGGAATTCAAAGGAACAAACATATATACATCCATGGTGCCGCATCGGTCTGTAGCTGCTGCTGTCCACTGGCAGCTCTAAGCTGGAGTACTGTACGATCACATGACCACTGATCGCTCAGTTCTTGGTGCTCACTGGAGTGCTGAGTTGGAGGGAGGGCAGGAGCTTCTGGCTGCGGCTCTCAGCAGCTGAAAGGCTGAGCCAGCTGCCGATCAGGCATCTTGGTGGGTCCTGACATTGTCAGGATCCTTCCAGAGCCTGGAGCTGCTCTGGGACGTCTGCTAATTATGGGTTAGAGGAGAGCACAAGTAAATGCTTTCCTGTGACCCAGAAAAAAAGTATGGCCATACTTCCCTTTTAATAAGCTTGGAGGAGGAGAAGAATTGCAAGTGTCTTCTGTCACCCAATGCCTTTCCAAAAAACAAATTCTGGAGTGGGGATAGACAGAAGGAGCAAACTTGTTACACCTCTGGCATATCTATCCAGGCTGTACAACAAGTCATCTTTTTAAAATTCCAGAATGTAAGATGGACAGACTCAACTGATATTGGAACGGTAAACCATGCATGAGACGGACACCCAGGAACAGTCCAGACAGGTTTATCCTACAGTTCTAATCAGCAAGGCGGCAAACAAACACATTTCAATGCAGGAGGGCTTGTAAATCAATTCCATATCATAAAACAAACTAAATATCTTCTCATCTGATGTACCAATTAAACTTAAGTCTGTTTCTGGCTGACGGTGCTCCCAAACAAAAGGGCAGTCCTTGTTTAGTGTTCTGTCATCATTCAGCCTTTTCACCCAGCAGCAAAGAGAGGGACCTGCGCGTCAATTAGCTCACATATATTAAGGTCTGTGGACCCCTGAGACTAATCACAGATGAGCTCTGAATACTTGGTAAGATATGGACTTAGGAATGGAGGTTTTATCCACCAAAGCTTAGGAAGCCTGCCGGCTCCAGGATCCAGAACAGGTTCAGATTCTAAAAAAAACCCAAAAAGGTTGTTCTGTTTATGTCAATCCTTTCCTTTGTAGCTCCTCACCATAGGTAGGTGAGAAACCTAGTTTTAAATGAACAGTTATTATGCTCTTCCTTCCCATCTGGTTGTGACATTTTTTAAGAAGTTTCAGGATTGATTGATTGATTTTTTTTTTTTTTTTTGCAAATAAATATAACATATGCATAATCCTTATCAGGGCAGCTGCATCTTTTGAATCTATTCCCTACTGCGCTATAGCTGAAAGACGGCTACAGCGCGGTTGTCTAGTTCTGGGAGGGCGTTCATGGATGTCCTCCCAGAACCCTCCCACAGCGGCGCGCACCCGGCGCGGTCAGTGATCGCTGCGTCCTACGGACACAGCTGATTACGTGATAAGGTAAAAGGCCAATCACAGCGGCCTTTTACCACATGATCAGCTGTGTCCAATAACACAGCAGATCACAATGTAAATACAGTTGCCTGTTATCGGCTGCACTTTCTTCACACTGTCACAGCGTGAAGAAAGTACTGCTGATAACTGGCAGATGTGACAGGGGAGATCTGCACTGATAATCAGGGCACTGATTATCAGTGTCGTCCATCAGTGCCCAGCAATGTCGCCCGTCATTGCTGCCCAGCATTGCCATCTGTCAGTGCCTCCAGTCGGTGCTATCAGTCAGTGCCCATCAGTGCTGTCTATCAGTGCCCATCATTGCTGCATATCAGTGCCGCCTATCAGTACCCATCATTGCTGCATATCTGTGCATCATCAGTGCCTCCTCATCAATGCCCATCAGTGCCGCCTCATCAGTGCCCATTAGTGCTGTCTATCAATGCCCATCAGTGCAGCCTTATCAATGCACATCAGTGAAGGAGAAAAATTACCTGTTTGCAAAATTTTATAATAGAAACAAAGAAAACCTTTTTTTTTTTTCAAATTTTTTGCTCTTTTTTAATTTATAGTGCAAAAAATAAAACCCCGAGTGGCAATTAAATATCACCAATAGAAACCTCTATGTGTGTGAAAAAAATGAAAAACATTTCATATGGTACAGTGTTGCATTACCGCGCAATTGTCATTCAACAGCGCTGAAAGCTGAGAATTGGCTTGGGCAGGACGGGGGTAGAAGTGCCCGGTAGGCAAGTGGATAAAGAGCAACATCTGCGTGCGCAGTTAAAACACAGCTAAAATGCTTTCCAAGTAGTTTTTATTTGCTAGAGTAACATACTTGTGTACCCATTCTGAAATGTTTTACCAAGAAAAGAAACATTTTTTTTGGTCAAAAAAAGTGCAAAAACACCAGTTTGCGGCATTTTACTGCTTTAGAGCGTTTTTACAGCTAAAAAAACTCCTCTAGAAACCCTTTCCTTGTGTTCCCTTTTATTAATACTTATAGTTCACTTTGTACATGTTTGTGTTGAATTTCAATAGGTAGCACACTTTATTTATTTATTTTTAGTGACATCCATATACAAGAGGATACATGTTGTCAGTATACAATTATGTTCCTCTATGCATTGGGGGGTTATTTAATAAAACTGGAGAGTGCAAAGTCTGGTGCAACTCGGCATAGAAACCAATCAACTTCCAGGTTTCATTTTCAAAGCTTAAAGTGGTTGTAAAGGCAGAAGATTTTTTTAGCTGCGCTAAATTCTCAGTGCAGCAGTTTTAGTAAATCTCCCCCATTGTTTCGTTGAAGCTTCAATTATTATAGGGAGGGTGTTCCCTATGTTTTATCAGGTATAAGCTGTAGCCATTGGCATGTCACAGAGATATGCGATGTACATAGACGTATTATATTCTCTATATAGTGAAGACAGGTGTATTGGTGGTGCGGGTCTTTAGTACGCAGAGTTGTAGTCTGGGAACAGTAAGACGCAGGTTCAAACCTAATGTAGGGAACGTGTTCGGTGATCAGCTATAATTTCCTTCTGACATCTAGAAATTGTCTCAAGGGTTTAGTGATCACCAATATAAAATGGAGGATGCCAAAGACCAGTGCAGGAGATCTGATTGGCTCTGACCGAGACCTCCAACATTTGTGTTTTTCCCATTTTTATTTTTGAGAAGATTGAAAACAAGCTAAACATTCTTTGATATTATTTGTATATTTATTTTTATACTTAGTCATGTCTATATCAGCATGCAGAGTTGCATGCACCAGGATATTTTGTGTTTGGGGGAGGGGAAAGATCCACTGATACATTGGAAGGGACTGATACGTGCATTATGGTAAGCTCTGCGTAAATTAGTAACTCTAAAATGCCTGGAATAAATAAACAGGAATGAAAGTAAAAAAAAAAAAAAAAAAACTGTGTGCGACAGCCCCCCTGACCTTACTTAAGCCCCAGTTCGTTCCAGCAATGTGTTTTTGGCTGTCCCAGGTCTCTCCCACCTCATTGGCTGAGACAGTAGCAGGAACAATGCATTGGCTGTCAATCAAAGCCAGTTAGCCAATGAGGAGAGTGTGCAGGGGGGATTGCCCAGTCGCATCTGTGTCAATCAATCTGAGCCAATTAGGAGAGAGTGGGGGGTGGGGCCGAGTCACATCTGTGTGTGAATGGACACACAGATCAGTGGCTTGGGAACGAGCCAGCACTGGTGCCCCCATAGCAAGCTGCTTGCTGTTGGGGCACTTGGTAGGAGGGAGGCTCCAGGAGTGCTGGCGGGGGGATCAGGGACACTCTGAGCAAAACCACTGCGTAAAGCAGCTAAGTATGACATGTTTGTTATTAAACAAAATCTGCCTTT